TTTTTTTTTTTTTTTTTGTTGCTTTTCTTTTGGTTTGACTGTTATTACAGGATCATTAATAATTCAGTACTGAATGTTTTTTGATCAAACTTAATTTGCTTTTAGTTGAGCGGATTTGTTTTGCTTAAATTCATAGAAATAAAGCTTTTTGCTGTTGATACATCGGCCAGTTACGCTTTGTAAGAAAGCGGCATAAAAATAAAATTAACGCTTTACGTTGTGCTGCCACCTTTGCGCCGTTAAAATTCTTAGTATTAGGCAGTTAACTTGACAGAAAAAAAAAACACACTGTTTATCTGATGGGTAAAACAAATTAAATGTGATAAGAAAAAAAAAAGGAATTATTGCTTTTTTTTTTTTAATTTAGCGTGAAATTTGAATTAAACAAAAACTAAAATTTTTTACAACGTTATAACACTAGGTTAATATTACGGCCGGCTTAAGTGTAACCAACAAATAGGTTTTTGTTTGGTCGGTGAATTTCAATATTATTTTATGGTTGAAAAACTATCGATGTTGCCAGTTACTGTTAAGGTTGACTATAATTTCGGCCAGCAAAAAAAAAAAATTTTATTTTATTTTTTTAATTATTAAAGCATTATTATCAGTATATAATAGTTGTTGGAATCGTACCAGTAGCACAAATTCGAAAACGAGTTCAACAACTACAACAGTTCGGTGTATACGGTGATGTTGATGAACGATTTGATTCAGTCCATTGTCTGATAGAATTAGAGTTTTGTACACCACCACTACCACCACCACCACCATATTTATATAGTCCACTAGTAAGTGAAGTTTTTGTTGCATAAGTTGTTTCAGCATTTACTGCAACTGAAGGCTGTGTAGTGAGGTCTGAAAGAAACAATTGAAAATGCTTTATAGAGCAATAATTTTCAAAGATGTTGACTCATCAATAATTTATATTTGTGTTGGCGAACAGGCAACAACAATAATTAACAAATAGGTTCAAAAAAGAAAAATTTTTAAAGCAATCTTGTATATCGATATCAAAAAATTTTTGATTTTTGAAGCATTAAATATTGAACAGTCTTTTTTTGAAAGTGATAAGTTCTTGAGTGAGTAACTTTTTTAACGTTTAACTATTGAAAATATAGTAGTGATATTTTTAGAAACTCAAAATGCTTATAGTAAGTGTATGCAGAAAAATTATAAAGATTATGATAGAGTGAATTTAAACTGAGAAAGAAACAAGTGAATACTGCAACGGCAGCTGATCATATCAGCTGAATAGATTTTATTTATTTAATTTTGCAAAATTCTACCATTACGAAGTTGCGCAATACTCCTGGTACCAACTGACATTTTTGAAATGATTTACTTGATTAATTTGATTGTAGTCTGGTAAACAAACTTTTTTTTAATATTTATTCATAAAAGAGTCAGATTTTTTGCCATAAAACTGTAGTTTAAAGCCTCCATTTGTCAAACAACTTCTGCGTGCTCAGTAAACCTGTATATTGTGAATATTCTAAAATTATTAAACAAAATTCGAACTTTTTTTGATGTAAGTTACCTATCTTCCGCTGACAGCAAAACAGTTTCCAAGCATTGCTCCTGATTTCAGTACGTAATGCTTCGCTGTCTGTCTTTTGATAATGCAAATAGCGAGGTTCCTACAAATAATCAGATTAATGTATGATGAAACCTTTTCCGCCAACATTAAAATTTTCTTTATATTCTAAGCTAAAACTGGGAGAATAAAAAAGACAGTGATAAGCAAAAGTCTCTCATAATTTGGAAAAAACTTCAAAATTACCTGTAATAAATCTTGTAAAGACTGTATATAACTGATAGCGGTTTTCAAAATTCTAAGTTTAGATACACGTTTATTGTGAGATCTAATCGATGGTAAGTGTCGTTGTAATGCCAAGAAAGCCTAAAATCACCCTCAAACTCTACTGGTACAACTTCTGCGTCAAATTATTTTTTTTCCAGAATTTAATAAACCTCTTAAACTTTAGATCGAAAAGCATAGCCAAGCTTTGTCTAAAAGTAATTCTTAAACAATTTTTTTTAAGCGAGAACAAAATGGACTGACAGATCTTTCTTTTTAGCAGTAAACTGCTGGTAAAGAAATAGAATAGAGTAGTTACAATACCTGATTAACAGTACTAACTCGAATACGTTCTCGTTCGTTTCTTTTTGATACCTCATGCGGTGCTTTTTTTGAAATTTGGTTTCCTTTTTTCTCCTTCATTGTTTGCCTGACTTGCTAAATTTTATTTATTAGCCAAGCCGGTGCAATTGAAAACAGTAGCCTTGTACTTGTTTTCAGGAAACTTCTTGTATTTTCCAAGCGAAAAAAAAAGAAACAGGAGGTAAATCTGAAGCCTAAGTTTAAGCCTAAGTCTACGTACAAGCTTAACCCTAACAATAGGCTTAATATTAATTCTAAACCAAAATCTAATCTCCTAAATTCTAGTCTCATGTCCTATAGCAATGAAAACGTTTTAAGGCTAGAGTTGAAGTTGTCATCTGAAATTTGTGGCCAGTAATTTTTTTGAAGCATTTTAAATTATCCATCTTGAGTCGCTAAACGAAAACCTAGTAAGTTCAAAAAACTATATTTCTAAGAGTGTAATAAAATGGTCGTTTTCCCGAACAGTACTGAACAAGGCGATCACAAGTAATTCAAGAATTGAGCACGTAAGATCCTGAAGTAGACTATTTCAAAACAGAATCACTTTTAAGCAGTAGACATCGGCTGCAATTAATCTGATATTACAGTAAAAAGGCGGTATTTTAGAGCAAAATGATAAGGCAAGGTGTAAAATATTTAGCATTTACGACCAAACTACATAAAAACGTGAAACAGAGTTGTTATGAGTCTCTGTCTCAATCAATTAAATAAATAAATAGAAATTAAAAAGTTTATAAATGAATTATAAATGACAATAAAATTGATTTGATTGGACACCTCCTAGCAACCGTTTCTTCCGTTTCTCCAGTAAAAGTAAGCACTTTTTTTAGGAAATCAACTTAAAAAAATTAACTTCAAAAGGTTGAGAAAAAATGAGGCAAAAGATGCGCTGTATTTCTATTTTTATCATAAATAGGCAATTAAGTTAGCAAAATGCAAACAAAAGATATGCACTCTGTGAGACTGAGATACGGTTTAAAGCATTCTGCCTGGTTACTTTTAACCATAACACTGCTACTGCTTCAGTAATATTCTGTTATATGCTTGTGCATTCTTAGTTCTCCTTTTTTTGAGAAACTAAATTCCATCCAATAGAAACCTACAGTATACAGTAATGATGTTTCGTAGATTAAGGTCTTAAAATCAAAAATCAATGGCTGTAATGACTGCAGAATACTAAAAAGGTACGCTAAAAAGTTATTCAATCAAATAGGGGAAAAATGAGTCCTCAGAAGTACGCAACGTGCTAAAACTGCCTGAAAGAATTCAGAAGATGTTAATGAATTACCGAAATTTCTTTTATTTTTTAGACTTGCAGAGGCGTTTGCATAGTGTGTAGCATTACCTTCTGCTTCGATTCCTTCATGGTGTTCAAACTCCACGGACTTGGTTGGTTGTCATGATACGTTTTTTGTCTCACTCAGTTAACAGAGTCCGCTTGATTGTTGTGCATCTCACCGTTCTATGTAACCTAGTTCTGAACAATTTTTAAATGAGCTTTTATTAAACGTAATTCTTTTTTTCAGGTTCTTTCTAATATCCAAGTCTATTGAACCCTATATATTGACAAAAACAATAATTATTCTTTTACAGTTTTTGAATTTCTCCTTTTGAGTTGGTAAGGCTGTAAAGGGAAAAAATATTTGCGGTTTCAGGAAAGAGTATGACTCTCTAAGGACTGTTTGTTTCTTTTTATATTAGCCGGTTTCATTGAGAAATGATGCCCTATTCCAGGTTCTTGAACATGAACAACACCTTCTTCATCGTCCCTGCACGAATGTAGTAGAAAGTAGAAGAATGAGTAACAAAGCTAAAGTTTATTCGAGCCTACTTTTTACCAACCTAATATACACTTGAATAAACTGCTGCTGAGAACCAATTTTAGTTTTGTCCAAAAAAAAATTCTTTTTAAGCTTTGCCATAAGATCGAATTAAACTCACAATTTTACTGAGTTCTTCATAGCTTTCTTTTAAGAGGAACAAGACTGTAATATCAGTGTAGCCGGAGAAAATCCTCAAAAATTGCTTCGCTGAAAATGTCTCATATTCATAAACCTAAATTTTTCCGTCTAAATCATTTTCAGATTTTTCCTACAGTTCAGCAAACACTTCTTTTTTACTACCAAAAAACGGTATAATATGTGCCTTTCGTGACCAGTGATTCATTCATACCTTCCTGAACACTCTGTTCCTTCATTTTATTCAATTTGGTACCATTAAAGACAGTAGTTTTCTATCAAAACTGTCCAGCTCTTCACTAGTTGTACGTCTGAGTAGAAAATTGGCAGTCATTTAAGTATATTTTGCTTTTTTTGAAAAAAAAAATAGTTATCAGTAACAACTTTGTCCCATGTGGCTTACTTTCGCTGTTCAGTGTAATCGTTACTGTTTTGCCAAATTTGCTGACTTTTACTGCTATTGTAGTATAGAAAGAGTTCCGCATAAGTTACCTTTCCAAAATATCTTCATGAATACCTCTAACTGCATTCTCAATTCTCCTTCTTTTATCCCTTTACAACCATTGTTAAAATTTCATACCTATTCAGCAAAAGATGTAACAGATTTGTCAGTGGCAACCTTCCCTACCTTCAACAACAGTTTAGTTTTATAAAATGAGTCAATACTATTAGAAGATAGCCAATAAAATTTTTTATTAATTGACACACCATAACGAATGGTGAACCGTGACTGAATAACTGCTTTCGCTGCTGTGATATCAAAAGTTTGTAGAAATGAAATGTTCATCAATCAGCGCTCTCAGGATTCAACAAAAGTTAAAGGTATTCCAGATTAAGGTAAAAACTTCAATTATCTCGCCTAAGTGGTAAAAATGCGAAACATTACGCGCACCGCTACCTACCGACAAAATTGCGAACTCTAAAGATGACAATAGTACTTGTAGAAATCCAGACTTTTATTATTGCCCAGCGTTATTGTTCGTACAGTCTTCTTCAAAATGTATGAATATCAACAAAGTGTCATTGAAATGACTAGATAGAATCTGAAAAGATAATAGCAGTTAGACGCTGTCTCGTAAACTGGTAAAGTGAGCCGGGATGGGGAAATTGGGTAGATTATGACGATTTATCTCAAAATAAAAAAAAAAATCGAGAGAAATCGTCACAAAGTAACAGCTAGAGAAGGCTTCGCTTAAAAAACTGCACTACTTCCAAAAATTTTTGATGTTATTGGAAAAATTCTGATACGAGAACAGTCCAAACAGTGTGGCAATTTTTTTTCGCTGCAGATAAAATCTTTTATTTTTTAAAAAGAAATATGGAACGTAAAACAGACATAACTTTTATGTAAAACAGCATAATTATATATCCTCTGTAACATTTTTATTGTTATAAGTGGTTTTGTCAAAACTGTTTTTTTCGCCAACTGAGTAGCCGAAGCAATTTCATCTTCTTTACACCGCGTTTCCCGTAGTTCCCATAGTGCTGACTACATTTCCCTTGTTCGCCCTTGCAGTTATATCGGACAATACGAACGAAGTATTCGGAACTGTTTCGTTGGTTACTAAAGGACGAATTTAACAGTACACAATAATGTAGTTTTGGAGCAGATGAGGTACCAAAAGACTTTCATCTTTGTTTGCCAACTACTATTCTTAGTGTGACCCAAAAAATTCCAATTTTTAAAACAATTTACTCTCTCTATCAAAAATAAAAATTTTCTCATCATAGCTCACTGTTCATGGTGAGTCGAACCTGCAGTTTGGTACGAACAATTTTTTGACTTTGCTGCGCACGACAGTTTAACTAATGAGGATAGCTCTTAGCAGTCACAAATGGGCAGAGACAAGCATTATATTTTACTGCTGCCAACTACATTCATTTTACAAAATGGCTATAAGCAAATTCCTTCGAGGAAATAATATTTTAACAAAAATTGTTGCGAGAGAAGACCACAATGTTGAAAAATACTTTGCACGGAGTGGGATTCGAACCCACGCATCGATACCGATACCAGAACACCCAGGAGTGTGCTGAACTCGCACGAAGCATTACGCTTGAGTCTGGCGCCTTAGACCACTCGGCCATCCGTGCCACACCAACTTCTCGCCAAATTGTACCTACGATACTAAATGCCCCTACTGCTGCTGACTTAGAAAAGTTAAACCTCATATTCACTGCTAGAAACACCTAGAACCCATAAAGTATTTCACAGTTCCGCGCGCTACAGAGATAAATCCCAATTAAAAAAACGAAAAATTGAAACCATATCCCAGGAAGATTTACCATAGGAGATAGTGCCGTGAACAACGACAGTTTACTTAAAAGTGAAATTCTTTCAAATTTGACCACGTCTATACCCGTCTGAAGAAATCGGCCATTACTCAGATTTTAATTTTGATTTTTACTGTCATCTGACGTAAGAGGAAAAAATTCACTCACGATCAGCTTTTTTTTTCAATTTAAAAACCTACTCTCTTCCAAACAACCATCTCCTTTCATTCTTCTATTTTTTTTTGATAATACTTTTTACATACTGTCCTCTTTATACAAAGGCTTATCCTTTGCATACCTTTTGGTAACAGGATAACAAGAAAAAGAAGACCGGAAGCACCTGGAACTCCTATACAGCTGCGGAAACAAAATAAAACAGAGCAACTTTCTATCAGTTTAAAATGACTGCAGCGGCTTTTCAAGAGCACTGGATAACAGCTGATAGTTATGCGGCTTTTTCACTAGAACCTGACACTGTAAAAATCAACAATAAATCAGATATGCATTTATTTCGTAAAAAAGAACCCGGAAGATACCGCCCAAGAGTTGAGTAGAACGCACCCACTTTAACCTTAGACAACTTTTAATCGCTAACCGAAAGTATGCAGAAACAAACCTCAGCAAAATGCTGCTGACTTCTAAAAACAACTGCTAACTGTAATGCTTCAGATAAGCAGCTTCCAACTGAATCTTTGCCTGTCCACTGTCCCGTCACCGCGCAGAACCACAGTGGAAAATTAATCTCTGCAAGTCCTCTACAAAATGCAGTCATCTTGACCGCAGACCAATCAGGAGTACATATTCTTCCCAGCAGCTCAATGCAAAATGTGTACAACTCTTTTATTATTCCACTATTGGAAATCCCATCCTACAAATCACTTCCTATTAACCGCCGTGTTTTAGTTCGTTAAACTACAGCTGAGAACGCTTCCATTAACACAGTAAAGTGCAGGTAAAGGAAAATGAAAAGCCAATATGAGGTTTCATTCATGAAAGTAACACTCTTATGGATTGAAATTTTCATTAAAACACCAGACAACTGCAAATACCGTAAACAAACATAATACAAATCAAAAATACAGC